ACTAGGTGATTTTAATTATATTTGAGTTATTTGATATGTTATGATTTATTGGTGTGTGTGTGTATATACAGCTCTGGAAAAAATTAAGAGAACACTGCAAAAATAGCAGTTTCCCTGCATTTATTATATTTATATGTATCTGTTTGAGTTAAATAAACATTTTGATTTATTCTTCAAACTACTGACAACATTTCTTCCAAAATTCAAATTAAAAATATTGTCATTTAGAGCATTTATTTGCAGAAAATTACAACTAGTCAAAATAGCGAAAAAAGATGCCATGTTTTCAGACCTCGAGTAATGCAAAGAGTTTATATTCATTTTTTAACAACACAATACTAATGTTTAACTTAGGAAGAGGTCAGAAATCAGTATTTGGTGGAACAACCCTGATTTTCAATCACAACTTTCATGCATTGGGCAACTTTGTCACTCCTGGTGAAAAAATTCAAGCAGCTTGTCTTTATTTAATGGCTGGTGACCCTCTTGCTTACATTCCAGAGGTTTTCGTGGGGTGCAGGTCTGGAGATTGTGATGGCCATGACAGGGTCTTGTTCTGGTGGTCCTCCATACACACATTGATTGGCCTTGGCTCAAGTTGGCTGTGTGGATTGCAGCATTGTCCTGCGGGAAAAAACAATCCTTCCAGTTGGGGAACATTGTCAGAGTAGAAAGAAGCTATTTTTCTTTCAGGATAATCTTGTATGCGGCTTGAATTATACATCCTTCGCAAAGACATATCTGCCCGATCCTAGCCTTACTGAAGAACCACCAGATCATCACCAATCCTCCACCAAATTATTCCGTGGGTGCAAAAGACTGTAGGTTGTAGGCCTCTCCAGGTCTCTGTCTAACCATTTGAGGACCAGCTGAAAACTGAAGTCATCAGAGAAGATCAGAAACGGACAGATCTGTCTTTGTGAAGGACATGTGACTCAAGCAATGTACAAGGTTTTCCTGGAAGAAAACTCGCTTCTTTCTGCTCTGACAATGTTCCCATACTGACTTCTGAACTCTTCCTAAGTTAAAACATTAGTATTGTGTTGTTAAAAAAATAGTATAAACTTGTTTTCTTTGCATTATTCAAAACGTGGCATCTTTGTTTTGTTTGTTATTTTGACCAGTTGCCATTTTCTGCAAATAAATACTCTAATTGACAATATTTTAATTTGAAATTTGGAAGAAATGTTGTGTTTGTAGAATAAATACACATTTTTCATTTAACTCAAACAGATACATATAAATGATAAATCCAGAGAAACTGCTAATTTTGCGGTGGTTTCTTAATTTTCTTCCAGAGCTATATAAATAAGAGAGAGAGAGAGAGAGAGAGAGAGAGAGAGAGAGAGAGAGAGAGATCAGTTTGTTGGTATTGGTACTAATAACAATAATATTACTTTTTTTATTGATTTAAAAATGGCTCCTAAAAAGCAATCAAATCCTCCTCAGCCCCTCTCCATATTTTCAGCGGTGTCTACTCTCCACCATTCACCTTTTAGAGATGTCCTACTGCAGAGCCTATGAGCTCATCAAGCAACGTCGCCATGGTTACGGCTGCTGTTGCGGCTCAGAAATAAGATGGCTGGTGTTTTTCCCCCCTTTCCTTTTTCTATGAATGAACCAGAGCAGCTTCGCCTTCACGAATTTTTTTCTTCACATCCAATCCCCCGTCCTCCAGTCCGCAGCCAAGCAGGATAGTTAGTGATTTCAGCTGATGAGCAGGCAGACGGGCATAGGGCGGTGTGAGGAAGAGGTTAGCACAAGGCCTTCATCCTCAGTCGATAAGGGAAGAGGACTATTTACTATTTAGTAGATTTACTATTTTACTTGTTTTGTTGACATTGGGCTATTGAATTGCATTGCCCACACATACTCACACTAACACTAAATATTAATACTAATGGTGCTAGTACTTTATTATTTAATAAAACTTTTACATTTGGCGTTAGTACGATTTTATTTGATTATTTTTTTTCAGCAATGATACATTCAATTAATCTATAGTGACATTTAAGAAACTTAAGACAACTTTTTTTTAACATTGGTAATAATGATAAATGTTTCTTGAGAAGCAAATCAGCATATTAGAATGATCTCTGAAGGATCATGTGACACTGAAGACTGGAGTAGCTTTTCATCACAGGAATAAATTACATTTTAAAATAGAAAATTTTAATTGTAATGATATTTTACAATACGGATTTTAATTTTAAAAACGGTTTCAAATAAATGCATAATTTAGTGAACATTAGAGAAATCTTTTAAAACATAAATAAAAATCTTACTGTCCCTAAATTTTTGAACAGTAGTGTACAAAAAAGTACAAAGTCAGTGTGACTAGTAATACTTGTCATGTGTTTATACGCTAGAAGATGAACAATTTTCCTGTTCTTACTTGTTTCATGTATTGAACTGAGATTAAGAGTAGCACTATTGTACCACTAGATGGTATGTTTAGGAGGATTATACTCATTGTAAAATGATCAAAACTAAATATCAGTGATTAGAAACATTAGACATTATCCATACTTTAATATGTGTATGTAGCCTATTGTTTGTAGGTGTGTATTTGAAGCAATTATTTTCTGAACAAGTTTAGAAATTTCAAAACGACTGTCTCCGTTTTATCAGCATAAATGTATCAGCTATTGCGGATTTTATTGTGATATCCTGCAGTTGTGTTCTTGCTAGATACATTGTTACAGTTTCACTTTATTTTACAGTACATGCACTTACATTACATGTACTTACAGTGTACTTACCTAAGAAAGAACTGGGTAATATAAGGTATCTACATGGGTTAAGGATATGTTTTGGGGTAGGTTCAGGGTTAGTAGCTAGTTATTACACAGTTATTATAATAACTATAATATGTACATAGTATGTACATGGGGAACTGGAAGGTAAAATAAAGTGCTACCATTATTACTACAAGAAAGCACATATGTTGTGTTTGTGACATTTACATCTGGTAGGCATAAATACATGACTAGAACAAAACCATCTGTAGAGTTAATATTCTGAAACTGGGGAGGCATAGGTTCGGAGCTTCTGTTACATTTGATTAAAAAGAAGAAGAGATAGATTAACTTTCTACTGTAAATAACTGTAAAATGAGTCCCTCCAACTTTTAATGCTGACTCACAGAGGTCATGTTCACAGCATGTTGTGTCACACCCCCTCTTGCATGTTGTTAGCCTTTAGCCTCCGTAACGCCTTCTTGCACAAAGTTTTGTGCTGCATGTGGTCACATTCTCTCTCATTTTAATTGCAGAGGGGGTGGGAGCAGCTTGAAGGGAAGGCATTGGTGTTTTGTCATGCTTAGTTGGCCTCTAACCTCCTCCTCCTCTTGATTTAAATCAACACAAAACTACATCTCCCATACATGCATCCCCTGCTGCTATCATGAGTCCCCTGCATTCAAATTCAATTATTATTGGGATATACTAGGTTTGTCAAAAATACCAAGTTACTTAAGTGCATCTTAATAGGTATGTTTTGTTTGTGGCTATGCCATTGTAGAAATGCAATATTCACTGCCAGCCATGATTAATGTATTTAAAGAGCGAAAGTGACCAATAATAGAGGGTTACCAAGATAAAGGGAGTTGTTTTCTGGTCATGGGATCTCTACGAGATGACCCACTACATGCAAAATAATTTGTTTGGGATTACATTTTCTTTCAAGGTACCCTTGTTAGTATAATTACACATAAATATTGAGTAATATTTATTGCTATACTTACTATAGGGTTTGGTTTGATGCATAATTTACTGTTATTACTATAGTGAGTCCATGTAACGTGTAACAAGGATACTGTGTAAAATAAAGTGTTACCTTTTATTATTATACTACTGAGACAACTGGAGTCTTCATCTTATGTGATATTTCATGATTTCAAGCATATTTTTATATTAAGTATGATACATTTGAATAATGATTCACAAATTATGTTCTTCAAAGGCATTTGGTCGTACTTATTCTGCATTTAAAGGGATACTCCAACCCCAAATTAAAAATCTCTCATCATTTATTTACCCTCATGCTGTCCCAGATGAATATGACTTTCGTTCTTCTGTGGAACCCAAACAGAGATTTTTAGAAAAATATTCCAATCCATATAATGCAAGTGAATGGGTTGACTCTTCAAAAACAATGCAAAATGAACATGGCAGTAATCTATATGACCCCAGTTGTTGGTTTGTGTAAGACTAATACTAATATTTGTAACTTTTTACACTGTAAACCTTCTGGCCAACTGTCAGCACTTTTTGAGTGATTTTCACATCACGCTTCACAACGTGCCGATGTTTGCGTCAAGCGCACACATGTATGACAGTTGGCAGGAAGTGATTGTTAATAATATTAACATTTAAAATATTAGTATTTTTCTCCCACACCTGCATGTCGTTTTGCTTCAGAACACATTGACTCATCAACTGTGGTCGTATGGATTACCATTGTGTTCATTTTGATTGGTTTGAAGCTTCAGCTTTGAGGGACCCATCCATTTGCAATAAATAGACTCAAAAAGAGAGATAATTTTCTAAAAATCTATGTTTGTGTTCCATAGAAGAACAAAAGTCATACGGCATGAGGTTAAGTAAATGACGATTTAAATTTTTGGGTCCAGTATCCCTTTAATGTCATTACAATGTCTAAATAAATAAAATTGTGTCCTGATGGAAGTAGTGGATGAGTTTTATAATTCTTTGTTTATTCAGTTTTACACATTTCTCTGTATTATAACGATTTTTGAACAGAACAAATACTCTTGTACAATTAGCATAAAACTAAAGCAGGTCGTGGGGAAGATGGAGAAGATACGCACTTGTTTTACATTTTTTTATATAACATGTTATTCTAGGACACCTGCTATGATCTGCATGTATTTTCCATTCAGTCTTTAATATGAACCCTGCTATTATTTCCTTTTCTCCCCTTCTTTCTTTTCCATCCACGCTAACTCGCTCTCAATCGCACTCGAAACACGCACGCTCACGTAGAGCCTCTGCCGTGCGCTCACACACTCGATCGCTTGCTCTGCTGCTCTCCTGCCTCCCCCCTCACTCACACATACACTCTCTCACACACACCCCTTTCATAAGGTGCTGGCAGCAGCAGTGTTAGCAGCAGCAGGGACGGCAGCAGCATTGAAAGAGGAGGGAGCCTCTGAGACAAAATGTAGTCGCGTGAATGAGCATGTAGCCTCGCAGCCGCCGTCCTCCTTCACTGTGGAATTACGGAACAAAAGAGGAGGACCATTCTTCCGCATCTGCAGTTTCCATTTTTTTCCACCTTCCCCCTCGTCGTGGTTTTTCTGCCTTCCCCTCGCGCGTGTCGTCGTTTTCGACGGCGGCTAGTGGCAGAGCTGGAGACGAGGGAGGTTGACAAGGGCTTGTCTGCGGACTGAGATCACCAAAGCTTCGAGGTCACCTCAGAGGCCGTTCTCGCCTTTCTTCTTTTTTTCCCTCCCCCTTTGCGTTTTCTCTTTTCCAGGCAGGCCTTTTGTTTTTCAGTGGACTTGTCCGAGGGGCTGCCGCCGTCGTGCTGAATTGGGCTATTGTTGGACAGGCAGGCCTCTCTCTCTCTCTCTCTCTCTCTCTCTCTCTCTCTCTCTCTCTCTCTCCCTCCCTCCCTCCCTCCCTCTCTTCACTATACCCTATCTTCCCTCCCTCCTCTATCTTCCTTCATCACTCCATCCTTTCATCGTGATGCACCTTGCTTAAACTCATATGTGTGTTTGGTACACACGCATTGTCCGGAATTGTCTTTGCGCTGCTTCACGCTTTCCTTCTTGTCCCACCCTGCCGTCCCCCTCTTCTCCCATCCCCGCAGTGCCTGGCGATGTAATGTGCCCTTCGTGGCACACGAATCCGGATGTTTGGCAGGGGGTCGGCGGGATTTGTTCCAGCCAAGGGTGATGCCTCAGAGGACAGCCCATCCCAGCGCTCCCACACCCACCTCCAACCACTGAGCACGCCCGCCTGCGCCGCCACGTGTCACCCCCTGTTCGCGTGCGTACGTGCGCGTATGTGTGTATATGCGTACGCACGGGTGCATGTGCGAGAGCGCCCTTACCATGACTCTGGCCTGATACCTGGACTGGGGTGTCCCCTGCCAATGTGGGGGAGGGACTGAACCTCAGGTTACTCCCCACCCCCTCCCTCCCCTTACCCTCTTCCCTCTCTCCCCCCCCCTTCTCCCCGCCACGGGTAACCTGCCGGCATGAAGAAGACCCGCAGCACCAACTTCAGGCGGGCCTGGCCCAGCTCTGATCTATCGGAGCGGGCCTTAGAGCGCATCCGCACTCGCAGTGAGAAGGACTACCACCACCATAAGCACTTTCCACCACCCCCTCCTTCGACCCACATCTCCCCTTCTCCGAGGGGCTACATGACACCAGGTGGGTCCCCCAGGACCTCTGATTCACCTTGGACCAGAGGTTGTAAATCAGGGTTTCTCAAATCCGGTGCTGAAGGGCCACTGCCTTGCAGAGTTAGCTCAAACCCTGATCAAACTTACCTACCTGTAATTTTCTAGTAACTGGGAAGACCTTGACTAGCTTGCTCAGGTGTCTTTGAGTAGGATTGGATCTAAACTCAGCAGGGCAGTGGCACTCCAGGGCTGGATTTGAGGAACCCTGCCATAAATGTTTGTTAGCCTAGCGCATTAGTAACCTGCCGTTCTCCATCATCAATGTGTCTTGTTTAACTGGGCATGTAAGGTTTCTATATTTGATGTGCCAATTGACAGGAGCTTTTGAAGCAGTCTATAGAGGTGAAGCAATCACAACAACATGAGGAAAGAAAAGGATGAATCAAGCATGCATCCTCCATTTTGGTCCCAACAAGGATTTTACAGCATTAAGTTTGTAGCATCATGAATAACAATTCTGGCAGCTGGTTTTCCTGTTGTACGAGTGTAACGAGAGAGATTGTGATAATGCCCCAGGATTCATGGTTGCTTTTCTCCAGTTTGGTTGTGAGTCTTCTGTTATTGTCTGTAATATTGAGCTGGAGAGCTGGTCAGGCCTGTAGAGGAGCACAATTGTGAAATGGGAAGATGACACATCTCAATTATAAACCAATTGATCTATAGTTGAGGTAAAGAAAGTTTCCATTGAAGTTGGTGCTAACACAGATATGTCAAAAGCAATTTATATATTCTTGTATGTTTGTCTAGCCATGTGTGTGTTATGTTTATGAGGTGTGAGTTAGCAAAGAGGCTGTGAAAAGGAAGAAATCTTTAAGTTGTCTTACTTTTAAGCGCACTGGGCAACACTCACAAATAGGATATATTTTGGTGTCCCATTATGTTTTTGTAAACCATTTTAGGCACATATTCCATGTTTGGTTGAAAGAATTATTAGATATTTTGATAAAATATTATGTAATGTTAGATTAAGCCTGTCCCAGCCCAGAGGTCTTGACCTTCTTGACTGTATATCCAACAATTAGAAGCATACAACTATCATAATTTGACGTAATCGGATGAATTGAAGTTCAGTTTAATCTTTTTTAATTTAACTTATTTTATTCACCATTTTCTACAGCATGACATGAAGACAAGCAAATTACCACAAATTGTAGTCACAGCAGCCATAAAATGTAAGCATTCAACCCTGTTATTAAAACTATTGTGAGAATAGTGATCAAACAAATATTGTTTCTTTAGGTATTGGGAAATGAAGTCATCCTAAACCACTTTACTGAGTGGTAGCTTAATATAGGCAAAATATGCACCATTATTACCCATTCAGCTGTAGGGATTTGATAAATTTAATTTTTAATTTAATTTTGAGGTTTATTTAATGTTTATTGCTTTATACATATACGCTATATTTGTTTTATACTGCTTTTGTCCCAATCTTTGGTAACCGGGTTGAAAAATTAGAAATCCCATGTAAAATACACCATTCAAATAAATTGTAATTTGACCTTCTGAGACTGACAATCATCATTCTTTGTTGGTCTTTTCTCTGACCATTTGCTGAAAAAGTACTTCATCGGACCCTATTTTGTACCCCATGGAAAGTGCCACACAGCAGACTAGTGTTCACCAGATGTGGTTTAAATTGTCTGTACTCTGAGGCAGATACAAGTGTCTACACCTAGATTATCACGTTTTTTGTTTCAGGTCTCACTTTTTTAACGTGGCAATTCCTTTAGAGTTAAGTGATTTAGAGGCTGACATTTTGCCATCTGTCCCTTTGTTCTTTAAAAGGAAAGTTCACCTACAAATAAAAATGATCATAATTTACATGGTATTACAAACCTGTGTTTTTTTTCCACCACAGAACACAAAAGGAGATGTTTAAGAGAAACATTTTTTTGAGCTGCACTTTTCCATCACTATGGGTGTCAAGTGACATGACAGTTTTGCGTCAAAAACAGACAGAAATTTACAACCCAGGCTCAATGCAAAATCGTGCCTGAGGCAACATTTTTGCCAAATTATATGTTGCTTGCACAATTTGCAACACTTTTAAATGTTTGAAAGGAATGTCCAGTGAGTGGTGCTAAAAGAATGTTCAGTTTGATATAAAACAGATGACCGTGAATCTGGAAATGTTTAATTATGTTGGTGGTTGTACATATCGCGTTAGTTCGGAAATGTACTCTTTCTCCGCCATTGACGGAATTTTCCTGCTTTGTTTTCACTATTATATGGTAGCGGGTGCTACGCAACTTCTGAAAGAGTAGAGAATCTCCGAATCAAAACAAAAAAAAAATGCAAAAAAAGGAGCAGAAACAAGCGATAAAAAGCGATAAAAGCTTTGCTTAAGTACGTTGTAGTCTGACAAAAAAAATTACCTACCTAACTTTTGTTCAAAATGTTGCTTTTTTTATGAACCTTACCCACATTCAAGTGTTGTTAAAAAAAATGCATGAAGCTAGACTAAAACTTTTTTTTTAAAGCAGTCCCTGTTCTTTCGTTTGATATATTGGATGTTCAGATATTCATATCACAAAATATTCTGGGGGCCATGACATTTTTGTGAAAATGTTCAAAAACACTGGCGGTGGCTGGCAACTTAAAAAAAATAAACGCTGTTGGGGAAAGAGTTAAATGTGCAGTGAGTGGTGCTAAATGGTTAATGCTCTATTACATTTGAAAATAACCTACCCCCTATAAACCCTACCCTAAACTGATAGTGTTAACAATAGCAAACATGAGATGAAAAAGCATGCCATGTTCTTTTATCGTAACTCGTGTTTCAAAGGACTTGTACTCAGTGTTGTACCAGGCGAGCTACTCAGCAAGTTTACTACTTTAGAAATGCCATACATATGGAGCTGGTTATGTGATGCAAACTTCTGACACTATAAAAGTGTTTTGAGGTCCGAACATAGTATTGTACAAGGAACCATAAAAATATATATCTTTATCAATCGATAATCTGCTCCTGTAATAATAATTTGTGTAAAACTGATTCTGTATAAAAACACAGATAACTGCAGCATACATGGATAAGTGCAGCAAAAACACATTTGCTGCCTTGTGTCCTTTTCAGGAGGGCATCATTTTACCAACCAGCTTTACAGTGTGCCCAACTACAGTAGCTGTCAAGATTATCTTTAAAACTGTGCTACTTTTACTTGTCAGTGGTGCAGGGTAATCACTGTATACAGAGTACAGACTAATATAAATCCTTGACTAACCTCATGGGTCTTACTACAAGTAAAGTTAGCTTACTGTGCTTACCACCCTTTTTACAATGAGACCAGCTGCATACAATGAGCTGTGTTCTTATTATAGTCCTAAATTTACCTGCTTGTAATTATTTAAACATTCGACAAATACTAATAAAATGATGCTATACACAGGATATAATCAATTTACAGAATAAGTACTATAAAAAATAAGTAAGTTTTGTTTTTTTAGCATTTTTAATTGAGTATTTTTTTGTGGAAACCATGATACATTTTCTTCCAGGAATCACTTTTGTCACTTTTGATTTACCCCAAACTTTTGAATCTCATTGTTCTCTATGTGGCTGTGGAAACTTTTGCTGTCCTACATTAAAAGCAAAACCAACATCTTATAAAACGTGTTCCTACAAAAAAAAAAAAAAATTCTCCCAGTGCGATTTAAAAAAAAATATTAGTGTGAATTTCAATTCGCAACCCACTTTTACTTCTGTAATGTGACGTACTTCCATAGGACTGGGTATTCCATGAAAAAAGTTTGAGATTTATGCATTAGGAATTGATTGGATGGTGAAAAGTGGGCGTTTCATACCAAAATGAATTGCAATGAATATGAGTTTGCTAAAACAATGAAACCTAATCGGTTAACATTATCCAAAAGCCTGCCTGATCTAGGCGATGTAACCGGAAAAGGAAAGTCTATTTAGAATTACTGTATATAGAGTTTTGATAAAATTAGTTCTGGAACTAACAATAGTTGAATAATCCTTTTGTTAATTTACCAATAAATAATAACCATAACTAATCTATGGACGAACTTTTACCTAATGATATTATTTATCCCAAAGGATTTCTGCAGTGTAGGCCTAGGAAAGGTGTTTACTATGGCTGCATTCACTGTCACTTTTTGTGATTTACAGCATTGATTGCTTATGAATCCTGAACTGTTTTGTTCATTTAGGAGATTAAAGATCAAACAGCTGAAGTCACAACTACATTATAACTAACTAACTACTAACCATAGCGACAGTATAAAACATGGCGGTGTCCCTAAAACCGTGATGTTTTACCACGATTGACAGCGCATAGTTAAATAAATGAGTGCAATCGAGGCGCGAGTTCATCCATTAGATATTTTAAATAACAAACAACAGCGTTAAGTGCTAAATGTTCAATTGTAACCAGTTGCAAGAGATTTAGCCGCGTGTCTCGCAGCCTTGCACACACCGCAGCTTGTATAAAAGCGCAACCGTAGCCTATTAAGCACAAAATATATAAATAATTTCAACACTTTACATTGGACTCAATATTTTTTTAATAACGGCTGATTTTCAACATGCCCGGGAGCCGGCATCATTGGGGAACATATACAGCACGACAAATCGACGCATTCCACGCAAATCGACTAATTTATATATCGATGTAATCGGTTACGTCAACGCGTTGTTCCAGCCCTAGATAAAATATTACAAAGCCAATCCATTTTTTTCTATTTTGCATAACTTGCACCTATAAATTAATAAGAACATGTGCATTAAGAAAGTAAATAGTGTCAATTCTGATTTGATGTTGACTAATGGTTTCAACTTGCTTGCCTGTTTTTCACTGAACCGTACTTAGTGGCACAAAGTAACTACACACGCTCGCACGTACGCACCGACCCAGCTGTGACAGAGTCCCTGATTTAGGCGTGGGAGAGGAACGAGGCCATGCTGGTGCAGTAATAGCCTGGCCTCTGTAGTAATGTGAGAGA